CCCCCCCCCCCCTTGTATCACCGGGGTGATACGGCATTTGCCCCGCGGGCATCGCACACACACAACATCTACGTTCTCTCTTTTGGTCGTACCCAATAGCAACGTATTCAGCAGCCTACTTTTTTGTCTGAGCAGGACAATGGCGCACTTTGTGGCCACCGAGGTCATGTGCTCAGGATTCATGTCACCCCCGTTGATCCCCTTTTTTTCACCACATTCCGCAGAACGAAACGTATTCGCCGAACAGGCCATGCTTTCACACCCCCGCAATACCACACCCCTTCAACTTCAAGTGTGCGGCAGGCAGCGGTACAACTCTACAAGCAGTGTTGTAACACCCCCTTTGTATCACACACCCAACACACCCTGTGGGTATTCGGACGTGCTCTGCATATGACACCCCCTTGCTGTCACACACCCTCATGTATCGCACCCCCAAACACACCCTGTGCGTGTTCGGACGTGCTATCATACGCCCTTGTTTATCACACCCCCTTACGGGCCCCTGCGAGCAGCACTTTATCACCCGGGCTACATAAGATACCACACACCCCACAGGATACCGCACCCGGTGGTAATATTGCTAAAGCCCAAAATGTTATCACCGGGGTGTGTTACCTTGTGTCGTCTACGGTATACTTTTGGGCAAGTAATAGCGCGTGTTCTCAGGTCCTGCTTGCGGCAGATACTGCTGTCCGGCAGTAGTGCCGGACGAGGAGTACAGAGCTTGTTCCTGCCTCTGTCCTACCCCTGCTGTGTAATAGTAACACCAGCAGCAGCCGTGAAAGTCGTGCTTGACTTTCTCCCGATCCACAACGACGGCCTATTGAACCGATCCACAGCTACCGTGTGGTCTACTGCTGTACCATCGTTGTGGTCTACTGCTGTACCATCGTTGTGGTCTACTGCTGTACCATCGTTGTGGTCTACTGCTGTACCATCGTTGTGGATCTACTGCTGTACCATCACACCCCGTGCAACAGTATGACAAATGGTATGTAAGACCTTCCGTTGACAGCGGTCGCGGTTCCACGCGGGGTTTTGCATCCATTCGTGGAAACGACACGCAAACAGCAACTTCATGTTTTATTTTTTAGACGTTGGCGGAGACCAGTCGATGTCACCACAACACTTATCCTCGTCTCGCAACACCTCAGAAGAGGAGCAAGCAGTAGCACGAATCCTCTTAGTGTTTCTCTTACTTGCTTCGAAACCCTATACATGTTAGCAGAAAATCAAAACCCTTCGTAGAGCCCCACCATCACGATGCACTCACTACTATACCATGCTGCAAAAGAAGTTGGGAGCATAGTCTATGTGGCGTACTACTCATATCCCGCACGCGCAGCAGCGAGAGTCACCACATCACCCACCCAATCCCCCTACGACAACAGGCGCTCCTTCGAACTACGTCGCCGGTCTCGGCCGCGGTGCCGTTGGCTTCACCACCCGGTCCGATATCGGCCCCGCCCGCACCCCTCTCGCCGAGCCGGGGGCCGCCGGCCCGCCCGGCGCCCCCGGCGCCTCTTCCGGCGCTGCGAAAGACCCGGATTTCGGGCCGGCACCAGTGGGGTACGTGGCCGGGCGTGGGCGCGGGATGGGCGACCTCGCCAAGTCTAACAGCGAGGGCGGGGCGGGGCGGGGGGGGGGGGGGGGGGCGGGGGCGGGGGCGGCGGGGGCGGCGGGGGCGGTAGACTTGTCGGAGAGTAACTACGACGAGTTCTCGGGGTATTCGGAGAGACTGTTCGGAGATACCCCGTACGACAATGACGACGAGGAGGCGGACAGGATCTACGAGGTGCGGAATGATTTGTTTTTGACATTTACGGTGGGGGGGGGTTCATGTTGTTGGCGACGACGCTTTGAAACGACGGGGCCCCCACGGTTTGTCCGCCTTTCGCGAGAGACATGGCGTCAGACAATCTACTGAGTGCCGTTAGGACTCATGAGGAACCGGGTGATGATGGTGATGATCCGAAGTTGATTGCTTTGGTCCGTTTGAAGGCGGACGGCTTGATATCACAACGCGCATTCAAAGGGTTAACACCCAGGACCTTGATATGTACAAGTATTAGAGGGAGAAAGATACAGCCCCGTTGCCCAACTTCCCTACCACCACACACACGCATCACGTAAACCCCGTGTTCCCTGCAGATCAGTATCGAGTACAGAGTACCCGTTGAAAATGGCCCGTCCGTGCCTAGCCAGGCTTCGTCATGTCGTGCTTTCTCTGCGAGTTGTGTCCGAAAATTCCTTCGATTGCCCCTCGCAATTTCAAGCAACACGTTTGCGATTGGGGTGTTTTTGTTCGCCTGGTCCAGATGCTAAATGGCGGGAGCTAAACCTTTTTCCGACCCCGGGTGGCCGGCCGCCTAACCCCTCATGACGTTCATCACGGGACGCTGGCTGTTGCTTGGGCTGTTGTTGGTGTTGTCCTTGCTGTTTCTGTTGCTGCCACTGATGGCGTTGGTGTTGATGCTTCCTTCATGCGTACAAAGAGTCCTGGCCCATTCCCAGAACAAACCTTATATTTTCCGAATTGTTCCGACCAGACAGAGGCGACTTCCCCATATCCTCGGACTATGTGTGTGTGTGTGTGTTTTCGTCCTATGCATTTTGGCGACAATCCCCCCATTATTCGTGATGAGACGTGTACTACACTTTTCAGCGTATGTGGGGTACTACACTTTTCAGTGTATTTTTTCGTACAACTACAACCATCCAGGGTCACACAGGAGGGGGGTAAACACCAGGGCTTTTTTCTTTTTTTTTTTCTTTTCATGCCCCACCTTCCTCCTGCGGTGCGTGCTGAATTTTTATTTTTATCGCGAGAAGGGTCCAGTCGTCCCTTTCCCTCGTCAACGGTGCTAACGTCGAAGTTTGGTACTCACGAGAGCTTTTTAGCTATATTTCGCTTTCACCCGCAAATTTCGTACATTTTTCACCCCACGGGGATTCGAACTCACGACTTCTGCGACTAGCGGATTACGAGGATACCACTAGACCTCCGGGGCGACCATAGTGACCCTATGCGAACACGAAATTGCATCACGCTCTGGGTGCTATCAAACCGCTGTGTTCTGTTTTCGTGCCCTCAATGGAAAAATTGGACGAAGGATATGGTTTGATTGCGCGTGTTATTGCCGTTAGGTATTTTTCCTGTTCTGCACCCTGAATTCTGTTAAACGTTCGTCCCTTGTTGTTGTTGTTGTTGTTGTTGAAGTTGTCTTCACATTCATTTCCGTTGCGGTCTCCGCTCAGTACCTTCTACTGTCCGTACTGGTCCAACTGACGTGGACGCCTTCCGTGGTCACAAGCCAGCTACCCCACATCAGGGGTACACCTTTCTATAAATCAAAAGTCGGATAATACTATCCACATGCATTTAAAGTGTTCATGTGTTGTCTGCTGCTGCTGCTGCTGCTGGCTTTGGTCGGTCGATCCTATCGGTGACAGTTTAACATCTTTCCCTACATGCGTGTTTTCTTGTCGCTGTGGTGTCTGCTGCTGACTTTGTTTTCGATCGATCCAGGCCATCGACGAGCACGTGGACACGCGCCGCAAGCGGCGCCGCGAGGAGGCTCAGGTGGAGGCGATGAAGAAGGAGCGGGAGGAACGCCCCAAGATCAGCGACCAGTTTGCGGACCTCAAGGTGCGAGGCGTGCGCGGCGTGGCACGAGACACGACTCCGCACGAGATTTTTTCAATGGCGGAGATGATGTACAATAGTGTTTCCGTGGGAGGCGTATGGTATGCTCTCTATAGCCGTGACACCCAACCCAAGTCCGTGCCTTTTGTGGTTGAGATGGCGGAGATGATGCTTGTTTCGCGGGAGGCGCATGATGTGGTTTCTGCTGGTTTTCAACGTTGTGTGTCTCTTGGTCGACAAAAAAGGCCGGCCCATTAAGACTCGTAGTCAGCCTAAAGGCTTAACCCTTTTGACTACTTAGTCAGCGCGAGATGAGATGACGAAGACATCATTCCGTAAGATATGCACGTGCTCTCTGCTTGCGTCTAAAGCCTCTCGTATGTGTTGGTCGACAAAAGGCTGATCCATAACAGTCGGCCGCTGACTGAGTAGTTTGATGGGCTAGCCTTTTGCCATCACTCTCCTGTGTTGCGGTCTTCGGAGCACCAAACGTGGCGCGTGGGCTTGGGCTGGCCGTTCCCTTGTCGTTTTTTTTTGTCAATGTCCTTGGTTCTTGCTTCTTTTTCGTGTGCCCCCAACCCCATTTTCGACATGATCATTTCGTAGGAGTGTACCCTCCGTGTTGGGTGCTTGATACTGCTATGCCACTCAACCTACTGAAGTGTGGGTTGCTGGCGGGGCTCGCAAAGTGGTACTCAAGTTCTTATGATGCAATGTTGAGCATGAAGCATTCTTAACGGCCGAGTATTCAAGTGCGCGTGCTATCTGTGTTGTGACCAATAGGGACACTTGGCAGGGGTTTCCCAGTCTGAGTGGGAGGCGATTCCCGACGTGGGGGACTACAGCCTCAAGTACAAGCAGAGCAAGCGCCGCGAGATTTTCACGCCCATGCCGGACCACGTGATTGAAGGGGCGCGCAACGACGCGGCTGTGAGTGGTTTCGCTTTGTTGCTGGTGTCGGTTGTTGTTGTTGTTGTTGTTGTTGTTGTTGTTGTTGTTGTTGTTGTTGTTGTTGTTGTTGTTGTTGTTGTTGTTGTTATTGTTGTTTTTGTTTTTGTTTTTGTTGTTGTTGATGATGATGATGATGGTGGTGATGATGTCCTTGTTTGCCTCCACACAATACGGTGCCGCCTCTACCCAGCGATACCACCCTTGTAAGTCCGTGCTGGTATGCTATGTCCGGAGATAATGCCCTATCCTCACGCCAAACACAACAACATGGTATGCTATGTAGTATCGAAAGTCCCTCCATGGCGGCTGTTCGTGCGGTGGTGGTCAGATTCGCGGAAAATCTCGCGCCAATATTCACAATGTTGTTCTCATCCCTCACAAAAGTGATGCTGCTACTGTTGATGCGAGGGGGTCACCAGAGCCCACCGTAGATTCTTCTGCCGGAAACAAGAGGTGTGTGATCATTGTTGCTCACGGAATAAATGAAAATACCTTTTGACCCCCCTGCGAATTTCGCCACCAGAAGTCTTATGTCCACCGGCAAGCCACAGGTCAGTGAGATCCCGCCCCCCCTTCTCCTCGTGAATCGTAGCGCAGGCCGGCGAAAAACTGCCATGTATATCGCTCCGTCCCGCCATTTTAGGGATGCGAGGTCAATAGCCTAACGAGTGCGGCGCGCGTTTGCATGAGTCCCCCCCCCCCCCTGACTCCGCCGGGCTTGGATTGGTTGTCTTCGTCGCCACGTCAGGTTGTGGGGACGATGGACCCAGCTCTCGGCGGTGCTACCCCCGGCACGTCCACGACGAACATCTCCAGCCTGGGACACGCGCGAGGGACGGTGCTGGGGCTGAAGCTGGACAAGATGAGCGACAGCGTCACTGGACAGACGGCCGTCAACCCCAAGGGGTGAGACAGAAGAGAGAGAGAGAGAGAGAGAGAGAGAGAGAGAGAGAGAGAGAGAGAGAGAG